AAAGCACAAGCCCTGACAGATTTGATTGCCGACCTCACACCAGTAGAAGAAGGGAACTGCAAGGATGCCTAGATGCCCAACGGGGACACCCAAAAGCCTAGCAAAGACTCTTAGGCACCCAAATTGGGCGCTCAGGTCAGTTCTGGTGCCTAGGTCTCCTCCCCAAGCGCCCAGACTTCATCTCCAAGCGCCCAAGCAATCCCCCCAGGTGCCCAGGCCCCATCTGGCACCCAAGCAATCCCTCTAGGCGCCCAGGCTGCTCCCTTTAGCACCCAGGCTGCTTCCCCAGGTGCCCAATCGCCTACTTTAAATTCCAAACTCTCATCTCTTCTACTTTGGAAACTCTATGCAGATGGCTCCTCGACCAGTGAAGGAGGAGGAGCGGGCCTAATCTTGATTAGCCCAGATGGTACCACTCTCAAGTATGGAGTGAAGCTTTACTTCATTGCTTCCAACAATGAGGCGAAGTACGAAACCTTCCTCTCTGAATTAAGATTGGCAGTGGAAATGGAAGCTCAACACCTCGCCACCTACAGTGACTCTCAGCTAATAGTTAATCAAGTGAAAAGCGAGTTTGAAGTCAAAGGAGCCAGGATATAGGAATACCTTGGCATGGCGAGAAGCATGATCACAAGATTCCACTACTTTGAGATAAGCCACATCCCCAGAGAAGACAACATAGCTGCTGATGTACTCACAAAGCTCGCCTCATCCGTGGAAGCCCCATCAGGAGAGCCAACATTCATTGCTCACCAGTTCGAGCCGAGCAAGTTGGACATGGAGGCCACAAATGTCAATTGTGCATCAGTTGAGTCAAATTAGATGACCCAAATAAGAGCATACCTCCAAGAAGGTGTGATATCAAATGATCCTCTAGAGGCTAGGAAGTTGAGGATGAGAGCCTCCAAGTTTGCTGTCCTGTAGGACACTTTGTACAATAAAGGTTATTCCTTGTCGTTACTGCGATGTCTCTCACCCGAAGAAGCTCACTATGCCCTGCAAGAGATCCACAAGGGAATCTGTGAGAACCACTCTGCAGGGCGCTCCCTTGCCCACAAGGTGCTCAGACAAGGCTACTTTTGGCCTTCCATGGTAAGGGACGCCCAAGAATTCTCCATGAAGTATGACAAGTGTCAATGCTTCGTAATTGTGTCCAGGCAACCACTGGAGGAGCTAACAACTATTTCAAGTTCGTGACCTTTCTCCAAGTGGGGCATTGAAATTCTAGACCCCTTGCCTCTCAGTAAAGGACAGTGCAAGTTCGTGGTGGTGATAATCAACTATTTCACCAAATGAGCAAAGGACGAACCCTTAGCTAAAATTACAGATGCGAAGGTCAAAAATTTTATCTAGAAGAGCCTGGTCTGTCGCTTCGGGATTCCCTATGCCATTATTAGTGATAACGCCAAGCAGTTCGACAATAAGCTGTTGAATTCCTTCTGCTCCGACCTTCAGATAGAACAACTTCACTCCAACCCAACACACCCATAGAAAAATGGACAAGCAGAAGTCATGGTGAGAATAGTACTACTCAACCTAAAGACAAAGCTTGAAAGAGCGAAAGGTCTTTGGGTGGACGAGCTACCAGGTGTATTGTGGGCTTATCGAACTACGCCAAGAACTCCTATTGGGGAGACCCCTTTCTCCCTCGCCTTTGGAACTGAGGTGGTCATCCCTCTGGAAATCGGGGAACACTTTCTAAGGGTCCAGCACCACAACCCCATCACCAATGAGGAAGGACTCCGCATCAACCTCAACTTGGTGGAGGAGGCAAGGGAGATGGCTATGGTACGCAATGCGGAGTACAAATGACATATGGCAAAGTATTACAATTTGAGGGTGAAGCCTTGCTCCTTCCAACCAGGGGACTTAGTCCTCAAGAAAGTAATCCTCGCCACAAAAGATGCATGCGAAGGGAAATTGAGACCAAATTGGGAAGGACCCTACCTCATAACAGAGGTGGTGAGGCCGGGCAACTACAGGATCCAGAATTCTGAGGAGAAAGTCTTACTCCATCCACGGAATGCAGAGCACTTGAAGAAGTATTACCAATGACACCTTGAGATCATCAAAGTAGTGAAAGTTGGGACTTGATTTTATTTTTTGGGGTTATTACCCAATATTCAATGTACTTTTTTGAAAATTATTACCCAATATTGCTTTATATAAGCAGTAGATCAATAAAATTTTCTATGTTTATACTCCAAAAATATCTTTTGCATTTCATTTCAAAGGAGTATCAGTACAAAATTGAGGCTATAAACTGCCTTTCTTTAAAAAAAAAAAAATCAAAATTCCTAAACACTCTAACTACTCTCACGATCGTCCTCCACCTCCTCCTCGTCATCCTCAGCATTATCAAAGCCCCCCTCACTATCATCAGTACACACGAAACCTAAGAAGTCAATGTCAGGGAAAGCAGCAGAGATCTTCCCTCGAAGCTCCTCGAAACCATCAATGAAAGCATCTGCGAGGCCATTCTCCAAGTCTTCCTCAGTACAAGAAGCTCTCTCCTGAGCGGCCTTCAACTCTGCCTCCGCAGCAGCCTTTCTGAGCATGGCCTTCCCATGGGCCTCTACAAGCTCAGCCTCCCTGAGCTCGTTCCTCTCGTGGATCATCAGAAGCTCAGCCTCAAGCTTAGTTGCCCATTCACAAGCCCTAGTAAGCTCACCCTCCCTAGGTACGTCCCTCTCATGGGTCGTCAAAAGCTCAGACTCAAGCTTAGATGCCCTCTTATGAGCCGCCACAAGCTCATCCTGAGAAGAACTACTAGCTGCTTTGAACTCGACAATCCTCCCCTGAGCAATAAGAAGCTCCCTTTGCACGATGTCAAGATCCAACTTCAGCTTGTCGTGATTATAGGCCCTTGAAATCAAGCAGATGGATGAAGTCGAGACCAGAAAAAGGTAAAAGGGTGGAGAGGTGACAAAAGGCGTAAGAAGGAAGTGGAGAAAGGGAAATAGAGGACCCTTACCTGAGCCAGGCCTTCCAAATATGTGTTGACAGCCCTTTCAGTGCCCGAAGTACTAAGCTAACAAACTTCGGGTACGAACACAAACCTCCCAAGCCTTTCTCTAATAACTGGCGGTCTGCCCAGCATAGGACCAAGCTAAGTTGGTCCTCTTGCGGATGTTTCCGTATGAGGAGGGGACAAACGAGGAGTAGAAGGTGTGCCCAACAAGGAAGACTCTAGAGTAGCAACTAAAGAAGCCGTCGGCTGAGGAGGCACCACCGTAGGAGACACTTGGGGGCATCACCTGTCCTCACCACCTTGGAAGAAGGAGGGCTCTTGCTAGAATAGTGAGACACTACCACCCTTTTACTTGCTACGAAAATAATAAAGTATCATGAAGGTGAAAAATACCAAGGGGAAGAGAAAATTAAAGGAGGAAACCACTCACCCTTTTTCTTGAAGAGGAACCACCAAATTTCAGGGAAACAGCAACGGCCCTAGCATCCTTGGGCAGAAGAGCTCCCAAATCTTTGTAAGGGAAAGCCTTGACAACCTCTAACTTCCACTCCTAGTCTTGAGAAAGCACAGGCATGTCTGTAAGGGAATGGTGAGCACACATACATATATAAGACAAAAAAAAAAAAAAGAAGCAAATGTGCAGCGTACCGGGTTTTCTAGCAGCACCCCACCGTATTGGCACCAAAGCTCTGTTGCCTTCTGCAGCCCACTCTCCACCAACAAAGTAGAAGCAAGATTTCCAGCCATGACAATTGGAGCATAGTCCTGTGAGCACTGTACCACTTCTTATGGTAAAGTAGTACCACCCCCTATTTGGTGCAGGAGTTTCGCTCAAATTGTATGCTACATGAAACTCCATAGGAGAAGTATCTTCATGATGCACTTTCCTCCATTATGCAAGAAAGCCTAGTAAAACTCTCCAACTATTAGGTGCTAATCGCCCTGGAGTCAAGAAAAAGTAATGCAAAATGCTACAAATGGGAGAGGACATGGGGAATCTTAGCCCAACCTCAAGCATCTTCTCGTAAACAACAATATCACTAGAAGAGTCGTCGCAAGGAAGCTCGCCCGTCTCAGCCTGGCGCCACAGCACGGTCAGAGGAATGTGATAAGCATAAACATGCCTCAAGATATCTTCATCCGAATGGAATAAACTAGAAAGAGTACTTACCTTAGACCCATCATCATCGAGTCCCACCTTGCCTTTACGCTTCTTCTTTCGGGACCGTAGGGAGTGCTCTAAGCCACCATCTAGGAAGTCTTGAAGAACTTGGGTTGGAGGAGTCACAATCAAATCCTGATCATCAAAAGCAGCACCCAAAGTTTCCTTGACGCCTATAGTGTTTAGCCCAATGCTTGGAGAGGTGCCTGACCACCTTTGCTCGTCCAAACAAGGCAGTCCAGTGCTTGGAGGGGTGCCTGATCGCCTTTGCTCATCCAAACGAGGTAGCCCAATGCCTGGAGAGGTGTCTGACCGCCTTTGCTCGCCCAAACAGGGCAGCCCAGTAGCTAGAGAGGTGTCTGGCCCTTCAAAATTGCGCAAAATAGCACCTCTAATGCCCAAATCAGTGCCTATGGTGCCCAGATTAGCTCCTGGAATGGCACCCAGATCTGCCAATGCGCCCAGGCTGCTGCCCAACTCTCCCCGCTACTCCCTAGCCTGATTTTCTACACTTTCAAGTAAAAAAAGGTTGCTGCCCAGTGCGCCTGAGCTGCCCAGGACAGCATTCGCAGTGCCCAAGCAGCTGCCCATAGCGCCAGAGCTATCCAGGACAACATTATCAGTGCCTAGGCAGCTGCCCATCGTGCCAGAGCTATCCAAGACAACATTATCAGTGCCCCAAGCAGCCCATATTGGCGCCCAGGTCACTGCCCATCTCGCCTATATTGTCCACCACACTTTCTGCACGCCTAATTATATGAGGCAACTCTCCAATGCTACGCAGACCAGCACCCAGACTAGGCTGCTCGCCCGCCACATGCCCGCTAACCTCCGGTGCCCGTCTAGCCGCAGTCTAGACAGCCCCACCAGCTGCCAGATCTGATTGCCCATTCTTTGGTGCCCAAGTCATGCTGGGTAGCACCCCCGTCTCCTCTCTAGTTCCACCTTGTGCACCGAAGCCACTCGGGTCAATGCCATGAGAGGTGTCAAACACTCTATTGCCATGGCTCCCCTCAACCATCTTGTTTGAACCCACAAAAATCTGAGAGATGCCCAAATACACAGCAGATTCGGCAATGGTGTTTCTGTTACCCACCTCCTCTTCAGCACCAATGTGGGTTTTCTCTCCAGTCAACATTGATGCTCAAATTCAAGAATCCCAAGCTTTGGGTCTCCAGAGATTTCAAGAAGAGGCACTCTTGAATAGGTTGGAAGAAATGGGTAGAACGAAGAAAAATGTTATATTTATAGCCTAGGATTTTCAAAGAAGGAAAAGCCCAAATTGAAAGGGCTCTCTTAAAAATCCTAGCAAAAGTGGAAAAAACTTGAGGCATACACTAAAGCAAAAATACATTGTGGAAGGAAAGAGTCATCTAGTAGAGGAAGTCTCCACCACTTATAACTCAAGGAGCAAACTAATGTACACTTCTCCAAGTTTCCTTGAACACGGGGCGTCGGGGGAAAATGATAGGTCAAGCCCAAATGGCCCAATCTATGTGGAAAGTCCAAATCCAAATTAAGAAGTCCAACCTCATAAAAGATCCACCATGCCCAACATAGTCAAAGACTAGTCAGACTCTCTGCTTGGCTATGTCATCAAGAGGGAGAGCATGGACGCCTTACCTGCACTGCAGAAAGAAACGGTCCACCCTCACCTTATCTTTGACCGCATCTCATAGAGAGCTTCCCAATCTCCTCGCCCGTTGAGAAGAAGTAGTGAACTCCACCAAAATAGTCGTTTAGTTGTTGTAAAGTAGCCCCAATCTGTTAGGGGACCACTATAAATTGCACACCCCGCCAACACTTGGGGGGCATCACACTTTACCTAAGCACGACTCTTTCCTCTCCCTCAAAGCTTGTACTCTCTGTTCCCCACACCCTTGAGCTAATAAAAGTATCCGGCGACCAAAGCCATTCAAGAGTAGGCATAGGTCACGTTGACTAAACCACTAAAAATCTTGTCTCATCCATCTTTCTTTACTTTAAATTACTGCATTTATTTTTAATCACTTGACAGTTGGTGTGTAAAGTCATTTTGTGCATCATCAATAACAATTAAGTTTACATTTACTACAGTTTAAGATTAATTACAACAATAGTGGACAAAGTTATAAGATTATAAGTCAAATTTACCATTATATTAGTTAAAGTTACAACATATGTAGGTAATATTATAAACTTGAAGGTAAATATACATCAGTTTTTATATTCTTACCTAAAATGATGGCAAATTCGCCTTATATACAAATAATGTCACCCAAAATCATTGTAATATTATAGTAAATGTGGTAACATCGTCCTTAACATTGATAACATTACCTTCAAACATTATATAATTCACCCAAATCGTTATAATATCATCCCTAAAAAATATTCAAGTTCATCAAATTAACATATAATTAATCAAATTAACATTGAATTTATTCAAATAACATTAAAATTCATTAAATTAATATTCAATTGCATCAAATTAAATTTAATTCACTCAATTAATCTTTAAATTCATCCAAATAACATTCAATTTCGCAAATCAACATCCAAAATCATCTAATAAACTTTCAAATCGTCAAATTAAACACCAAAGTATCATACAATTTCATCCACTTAGCATTTAACTTATCAAATTAATAGTAAATTAACATCCAAATTCATCTAATTTGCATTCAATTCATCCAATTTTATTCAATTAACTTTAAATTTATCAAATTAAAAATAAATTAACATTCAATTAATCAAATTAACACAAAAGTAACATTTAATTCAACAAATTAACATTCAAAATCAACTGGTTAATATGAAATTTATCAAATTTAAAATCCAAATTAACATTCAATTTTATCCAATTCATTTAATTAACATTCAATTCATCCAATTTATATTCAAATTCCTCTAATTAACAATCAACTCATCAAATTAACGTCTAAAATCATCCAATAAATACTCAATACTTTAAATTAATACTAAAGTAACATTCAATTCATCAAATTGACATCTAATTAACATCTAAATTAATCAAATTAGTATTCAATTCATCCAATTAATATTTAATTCCATTCAATTAACATTCAATTTATCAAACCAAAAATAAAATAACATTCAAATTCTTAAAATTAATTTTCAATTTTATTCAATTAACATTCAATACATCATATTAATAAAAAAGTAACCTTTAATTCATCAAATTAATATTAAAATTCAAATAATTGACATTGAATTCATCAAACTAATATCAATGTTAACATTCAATTTCAAGTAAATCAATATTTATTTCATCAAACTAATACCAAATTGACATTCAAGTTCTCAAAGTAATATTCAATTTCATTCAATTTATCAAATTAACATTCAAATTCATTAAATTAATATTTAATTTGTCAAATCAACATAAAATTAGCAACAAAGTTTAATCTAATTAATATTGAAATTCAACTAATTAACATCAAATTCATCAAACTAATATCACAATTAGCATTAAATTTCAACCAATTAATATTTAATTTATTAAATTATCATAAATTAACATTCAATTTATCCAATTCTTATTCAAATTAATCCCATTAACATCAATATTAACATTCAATTTCATGCAAATCAATATTCAATTCATCAAACTAACACAAATATGATTCAGATTCTAAAATAAATTTTGTTAAATTAACATTAAATTTATCAAATTAAAAATACATTAACATTCAAATTCATTAAATTAACATTCAATTCATCATATTAATATAAAATTAACAATAAATTTTAATTTAATCAATACTTAAATTCAACTAATTAAGATCAATTTCATCAAATTAATATCTAAATTAGTATTCAATTTCATTGAGTTAACATTCAATTTATCAAGTTAGCAATAAATTAACATTTAATTTCATCCAAATATAATTCGATTTTTCTAATGTATATTCAAATTCCCAAATTAACATCCAATACATCAAATTAACATCCAAAATCACCTTAACATTCAATTCACCCAATTAACATTCAAATCTTTAAATTGAGATAATATTTGTGAAACCCGGGAAAAATTTTAACTTTTTCTGAAAAAAATGGCAAAATGGTAATTTGCCATTATAGTGTGGGTTAAAAAAAAACTGGTATTTTTATAGACCTCGGATGATGAAACGGACTTCACCGTTGGAATCGTCTCACGAAATCTAGTTACCCAGACAAATTTCGTCGAATTCTGAGATAGTCAGATTTTTCAACGTTTTTCGAGGTGACGGGTGTTCGATGACCCCTAAAAACGAACTTTTTATAAAAATTTAAAATTTAAAAAATATTTTAAATAAATTTCATATAAAATATTTTGAGCTTAAATCGGTACGAAATTTAATCGTTTCGGGATGAAAACGAACCCGGACAAAGGACGACACTTGGCGCGACGAGGGCCATGTGTTTAGAAAGTGTAAAAGTGGCAAATATCTGAAAAATTTGGCCGGCTGGATCAGACCCAAGAGCAAAGAAGAAAAAAATATAATTCTTCAAGTTTTCTTTCGCCGATTCTCGGAGTTCCGTCGGTCGGAATTCGTCAGACCAAGAATTAAAGTCGATGTATGCGACGAGAGCTACGCGTGGGTACCAAAAACAAATATTTTCACCGAAGATTCAAAGGGAGCATTTTGGAGAAATCTAAGCTTTGGACTTCAATCTTGTTCTTGAGGCTTCCTACAAATTCTTTACGCTTCAAGAGGTAGGGTTCCTCCTACTCGAACCTATTTCTAACCTAAGGTGTCCATAGGGTTCATGTGGGCTGTTTTGGGTATTTCTAATACTTTTCCATTATGATTGGTGCTATGGAAATGGGTAGGATCAATTCTAATGTGAATTGGTAGTTAGAAAGTGCTAGTTTATGATTTCTTGAATGTTTAGATAATTGGTTATATAAAAATCATATATTCTGATTTTTATTTTGTTTGAATGATCCATATAAAATCTTGGCTTGATTTTGGTATATGGAAGTATTTATGTAATCCCTTGGAAATTGGGATCATGTGGGCATGCTTTGTGTTTTATATTATGCCTTGTGAATTAAATGTAATATTAGCATGTATTATGTGTTATCATGTTGTTGGAGTGTTGATATATGCTCTTGGATATATTGAACTTGAAATGGTTATGTGATTATATGCAAATGATATTAATTGTCATGGTATACAATGATATTTAAAAATTGTCATTTGGCATGCATTGCAATATGGACATGGAATTAACATCACATTCATGGGCTACATGCATGAGTGTGGGTGTAGGGTTGCATGGGGTGATCAACACCAACATTGGTACTTGATGGTAGGCTCGGGAAAGTGGGATGGAACGTCCTACGGAGTCGCACGGTGACATGCATAAAAAACTTGTGTCGGGTATAGCAAGTAGGGCTAGACACTCCCTCGGGTGAAAAACCCGACCACTTGGTTCATACACTTACCGGCGGTGAAATTTCAGAAAAGTGTAACGGCGTACGGAGCCGGAGGTGCGATTCCTGAATCCGATACCCCATAAAGGCACATGATTTTGAAATATAAATTATTCATTTGATGGGAAACATCCAAGAATGAATTAGTTTTATGACATATGGTTGATTTCAAAATGATCTTTGGATGTGTTTCATCAAAGACGTTTGTTTTACACGTAAGTGTCGCATTGTGTTGTGGGAGTCGGTGTGGGCTCGGGATAGCATGCATGGGTGAGTTTCATCTCATTACTTGGCATGGCATCATGATTTTCCAACATTGTATTATATGTTATTGTTGGAGGGAATACTTGTTGTGAAATGTTGCATTTATACATTGCATATGCATTTTAGGTGATGAGTAGCCTCTGTAGGGATTATTCTACTGGGCATTGGCTCACCCTATACGGGAAACATTTCAGGTGTGGGTCATGCACCAATGGACGGCTCACAATCAGGGTCACATGGTTGAAGAAAAGCCGACTTGTGGCTTCCAATCCATTTTTTTTTGTAAAAGTAGATTTGTAATTAAATTTTAGCATGTAATGTGTAAAGGAATTGTAATAGAGTATATATGGACTGTTTTAATATAACCTTGCATATTTTGATATAAATATGATGATTGGACCCGGTGTGGTCAAGTTTTATGTATAAAATGGACCCTGTGTGGTTATGGTATT